TGCAGAGCAGGCAACAGATTATAGTGAGAAAAGGTCAGATATTCAGGCAGTACAGGTTCTACACAGGAGGCCCATTTGAGTGAGAGATTAGGGGTTGCCCTTCCTCCCAAAGTTGGCTCTCTAAGCTATGCCCCCTTGCAGGAAGCTCTTTCACCTGAAAGTGGAGGTGACTTCACTAACAGGTATAAAAATGCCACCTTTCACAGGTCACATATACACAGCCCAGAGCATAAAGTTTCTTTCCGAGGCCCTTCTATTCCCCTCATTCAAGGTGTGACCTAGGGCAAGTCACTTCATTTCCCTGAGCACTGGGCTTGCTCATCCTGTTTTGAAGTTATGCAATCTGAAAGACAGATGCTCAATAGCTACCAATCAGTTGTAGCTCTGTCTCTTGAAGGAAACTTTTAAGAGACACAGAGATGGTAAAAACATGGATGGACCTTGAGAGAATTATATTAAGTGAAACAAGTCAGGCACAGAAAGAGAAATACCACATGTTCTCACTTATTGGTGGGAGCTAAAAATAAATAAATAAATTCACGAATTATATTAAGTGAAACAAGTCAGGCACAGAAAGAGAAATACCACATGTTCTCACTTATTGGTGGGAGCTAAAAATAAATAAATAAATTCACGAATTATATTAAGTGAAACAAGTCAGGCACAGAAAGAGAAATACCACATGTTCTCACTTATTGGTGGGAGCTAAAAATAAATAAATAAATTCACAGGAGAGGGAGAAGGGAGGGAGGTTTTGGTAATGGGCCACAATAATCAACCACATTGTATATCGACAAAACAATATTAAAAAAAAAAAAAATACTTGGTCCCAACTGCTTGAAGCTCATAACCTGTTGGAGAAAACTGGTACTCACACAGTAAATATAACCCAAAGCAGGGCAAAGCAGTACTGGAATTAAAAGTAGGGAGCACAAAGGAGGGAGGACTCATTTTCAGTTAGAGGTGATGATGATGATTTTGGTGTTGCTAGTAACTACTACTGTACAAACAATAATGCAATAAAAGTAGGCTATGCTAATCAATGAGTGCCTTCTATGTGCCAGCATTTCTTCTTGTCCTTCCCAGGCCCCTGAGGGGTGGTTGTCATCCCCCATTTTGCAGATAAGTGTGATGTGGGGAGGGTACAGGGAGTGCTTCACATGGAAGCTGGACTTGCAGGGAGGATGAGATTTTAAAAGACTAAGATTCAGGGAGAGAGGTTGTGAGTCAGAGGAGGGAAGCTAATGGGCATTCTTAGGGAGTGGGCATAATTAGGGAGTAAGTACACAGAATTCTCAGGATAAGGAAACCGTGAGAACTGAGCTACGGAGATTGCAGGAGGAAGAAGCAGGTTGGATAACAGGGAAGACACACTGAAAGCCAAGTCTGTGAATGCCACATGGAGGCAGACTGTGAGTTTAGGTTCTTTCCCAGCAGGGTAAAATAGGAGGCCAGAATTTGAAAGCGAACTTGCATTTTCTGGGCATGTACGAGACTGTATTGAGCTGTCTCATTTAATCCTCCTACATCCCCACGAGCTAACTGAGACTCAGAGACATAAAGCAACTCACCCATGGATATAGGTCTGTCTGTCCAACTCTTAATAGTACTGGTATGGGAATGAATAAACACACAGAGTCTTCGATTCAGATTGATTTCTTTTTCTATGGGGTGGGTAATGATTTTTTTAAATACAGTAAATTTGACCAATTTATAATATATACACAAGGCCAGCCTTCCCACAGTGGCAAAATGGAAAGTCAAGGGACCCTAAGGAAGTCCTTTTCCTTCTCTCATCTTCAATATCCCTGGACTCTAATATTCTTCCTAAATTAGACTCTCTCTGCTTTCTCCTCCATCCATTGACAAAAGGGGGAAAAAACACCACCTTTAAGAGATAGGGGGATTAAGGTAAATACCAACATGGATCCCCATCCTCAAAATTTTCCTCCTGTTACAATTGGGAAACAACCAGCTTGGCTCTGTGTTGGTGGGCAGTAGAAAGAAAATTTTTAGCCACAGAGCTGTTTTTTTTTTTTTTTTCCTTTGGGTCCCCCCATCTCCCTGCCAAGAGAGATTGGAGGCCGGAGGCCGGTGGGGCCAGGGGCTGGGCAAGTTGCATGGATTTTCCCTCCTTTGGGAAATGGACACTTCCTAAAGTATGAACAAACCCCACACACAAGCCAGGGAGGGGCTCCAACATCCCACATCTCTGTTTTAGGCTGGGATGAATACCACCCCTTGAAAAGATTGGCTTCTGCAATTATCACTGAAAAAAAAAATTTTTGCCCAAAGGCTGTTTTTTTTTTTTTTTTTTCCTTTGGGTCCCCCCATCTCCCTGCCAAGAGAGATTGGAGGCCGGAGGCCGGTGGGGCCAGGGGCTGGGCAAGTTGCATGGATTTTCCCTCCTTTGGGAAATGGACACTTCCTAAAGTATGAACAAACCCCACACACAAGCCAGGGAGGGGCTCCAACATCCCACATCTCTGTTTTAGGCTGGGATGAATACCACCCCTTGAAAAGATTGGCTTCTGCAATTATCACTGAATAAACAACCAATTAAAACATCTCTCCCATCCCACTCCATGATGAAACTTTCTCATCCCAGAGCAATGAGTCAGAGGTGGCTTTTTAAATAACATTTCTATTCCCTGCCTGAGAGAGCACTTGATAGATATGGACAAATCAATTAGAAAATAACAAATAATGTGGAAAGGGAGGATCCAGGAAAATCTCGGCCCCTCTGTATTTGATTCTCTCCCCAAGCGTAGTTTTCCTTTTCTCCCTGGGCTCGAGTGAGCTTGGAAATGAGGGTGAGGTCGTGGAAAGAGTTGGGCTTGTTGATATTTGTACTTGACTTTGTCACTAGTTGTTGTGTAGTGTCTGAACCCCTTTTCCTTCATCTCTAGGATAGGGATAAATGACAGGAATAGCTAAACATGTGCTGAGGTTTTTCTACATGTCAGGCATTATTCTAGGTCCTTTCCACTTCCTTTCACTTCCCTGGTCCTCTGAACAATTCTCTGGGGTAGGTACTGTTATTACCCTTAGTCTGTATATAAAGAAACTGGGGCACAAGACATTTGATAAATTGCCCAAGGTGACCCAAACATCAAGTGGCAGAGCTGGATTCGCACCTGGGACGCTAGCTAGAGCACGAGCCATCTCACCCACTCCGCTGCATTGCTTCAAATATTGAACAGAGTTGACACAACGCCTGTACCCAGCGCAGGGGCTGGCATGCAGCAAGTGCTTAATAAATGCTGGTGTTCTCCTTCCTCTTTCCTTTCTGTGATGGCAGAGCAGACAAGAGAGGGAGGAGAGAGAGATGAGTCCAAAGGGTGGGCAGGAGCTTGTAGGTTATGCTGGGAGCTTGAACTCTGCTCTTTCTCATGTGGGGGGCTTTTCTATTACTCCAAGAGGGAGAGAGAAAGGGGCACCTTAGCGTGTGCTACTGTCTGGGTCCTATGACAACCCCCCAGGAAGAGTCGGCATAAGGGGAAATGGAAAACACTTCCAACTAGATGCATGACCTTAGCAAGTTGTGGGGCTCTCTAAGCCTCTGCTTCTTCCTCTGGAATATGGGGATGATGATGCTACCTACCTCTGTGTTATTAAAAAGATTAAAGAAGATAATCCATGCAAAGTTGGGCACATAGAAGGGCCCAACAAAGATGAAAAATAATTATTCATTGATTTTATCTTATCTACTACATCAAGCTGCCTGCTTGATTATTTATTTTGTTTTTATCCGTTGATTCATTTCCAACATTACTCAAGAATGATCATCAGCAGCTCACAAGGATCCCTAAAATATATAATGGCAGACAAATGGGGCTGAAAGAGGCAAAGAGGGGAGCAAGATGCCTCTCTCTATGTAGAAAAGGAGCCACCAAATAATATGCCAGTGGCTGAGCCAAGGCGTATAGTGGCCCGTCATATTTAGTGTTTCTATTCTGATGAGAGAGTCACACTCCCCAAGGGAGGTTTTCTTATTTCTTCAGCACCTAGGATATGCCTGTAGTATCTTTATGAAGACCATTTTTCTCTCTCTCCAGCACATGTCTGCCCCATGTATTAAAGAGCTGATGATTATATAGTGAGGAGTTAATTCACTTTCCAGATATGTCAGTCTGCAATGGCAGCAACCCCAAATACAGTATACCTCTCTAGTCTACTTTACAAGTAAAGAAATAAAGCTTACACAATGCAGAATAATCTATGGTAGGCAGCATGATGTCTCGATGAAAAGAGGATAGGTTTCTAAGTTATCCACTTTTGGCTTTGAACACCAGTTCTGTCACTTTGGGCAACCTATTTAATAACATTGGGACATGTTACCCATCTTGAAAACAGAACAATGCCTTCTTAGCATGATGTCTCGATGAAAAGAGGATAGGTTTCTAAGTTATCCACTTTTGGCTTTGAACACTAGTTCTGTCACTTTGGGCCACCTATTTAATAACACTGGGACATGTTACCCATCTTGAAAACAGAACAATGCCTTCTGGCAGGGTCGATGTAGAGATGCACAACAGGTCTAGTGCAGCTCTGTATTTGCCAAGTAAGTGGCCCAAGGTTCATAGAGAGTGAGTGAAGGAGGGAAGAAGCCAAGACTAGAACACACGTTATGTCTCCACGGTCTCTGTTCTTGATCTATGCTCCCATTATGTGGCTCTGTCTTCAGTCATTATAGCAGAGTCCTTAGGGGTACAAATATTGATTATCGACAAATCTAGGTGTGAAAGTGAATTTGGCTGTTTATAAGCCTACTTACCTTAACTAGTCTCTTAAACTCACAAGGACTTAATTTTTTTATCTGTAAAATGGGATTATCTTACTTAAAATATTATTGGGGGAATTCCATGAGATGATGTTTATAAAGTGCTTAGCAAATTGCCTGGCACACAGTAGCTCTTAAATTATTTGGAGAGTGCCTGCTATTTAAATAGTATCTTTCTTGGACATGATAACACCCAAGGTTCTTTTTTTTGTTTCAGAGCCTACTTGGATGTTAATGAGCTGAAGAACATTCTTAGATTGGATGGATCAACACACCTCAATATTTTCTTTGCAAACTCCTCAGAGGAGGAGTTGGCAGGAGTAGCAACTTGGCCATGGGACAAGGAGGCCCTAATGCACTTAGGTGAGTCCTAGAAACTTCCTCAGGAGGAAACTGGAGTAGGACATTAATAAATTTAGTAGCAATATGACCATTATCATGATCATGGTGGTGGTGATAGTGGTGATGGTGAACAAACCATTTATTTATTACTTTTTAATTTACAAAACTACTGAGTATTCCTTATATCATTTTGACCACCAAGCAATGCTCTGAAGGAAATAGCAAAACATTATGAATGATGTTTTACCAATGGAGAAACTGAGACCCAGAGAGGGAGTGGGGCTTATCCAAGATCACACACTCAAGTCAGTGGCAGAGCCACAACTGGAATTCAAGTTTCCGACTCTATCCATTGGTTGTTTTCTCCTTCTACCCCATCTCCTAGTTCACACAGTATCTTCTCAGAGTGGTAACCACATTGTACTGGCACAGACAGTCATGGGTTGGCTTGAAAAACACCAAAAAGGCAAGAGAAAGTGAGTCTGTAAGAAATCCTTGTTCCTCCGTGTTCCACCCACCGTCACTCAAGGAGCTCTTCTTACATTTAAATTATGCATATTCGTAAACAAGACATAAGCGTATACAAACCAATCACCAAAAGTCAGAAATGACAATGGTTTCNGAATGATGTTTTACCAATGGAGAAACTGAGACCCAGAGAGGGAGTGGGGCTTATCCAAGATTACACACTCAAGTCAGTGGCAGAGCCACAACTGGAATTCAAGTTTCCGACTCTATCCATTGGTTGTTTTCTCCTTCTACCCCATCTTCTAGTTCACACAGTATCTTCTCAGAGTGGTAACCACATTGTACTGGCACAGACAGTCATGGGTTGGCTTGAAAAACACCAAAAAGGCAAGAGAAAGTGAGTCTGTAAGAAATCCTTGTTCCTCCGTGTTCCACCCACCCTCACTCAAGGAGCTCTTCTTACATTTAAATTATGCATATCCGTAAACAAGACATAAGCGTATACAAACCAATCACCAAAAGTCAGAAATGACAATGGTTTCTGTACCAGACCCTGCAGGCAAATATTATAGTTCTTTAATTTTTTTGGGGGGGGTATCCTCTTTTCCATGGATTTTTTACTTGTACATATTTGAGATTGTAGCATAGATGCAATTTTGTGTTCTTTTTTCACTTGATATTATGCTATCTATATTTTTCAGTGTTTCAGAAGTCATGAGATTACCTCCCATTCAACTTTTTTCTACTTAAAATCACAAGTGAAAAGCATCCCTCTGGGTTATTTCCACCTCTCTAAAGATGAGATTTTTAATAGCCATATAATATTCCATTGAGTGAGGACACTACACTTTATTTAACCATTTTCCCCTTGGTAGAATGTTCCCATTATTTTTTAACAATGAATACTGATGACTCAGTGAACCTTTCATCTGAGAATGTTAGGGCTCAGCATAATGACAGTGCTGGGTGTATCCTGGGGCCTGTCACATTACCCAGAGTCCAGTAGCTGCTCTAAATCTATGCAGTTGTGGAGATGAGAGATTCTGAAACTTCAAATGATGGAAGTTGTGCTGAATCAATCCATAGGCTTATTTCCCTTCAGACTGCTCTCATTTCTCAGCTACTTTTTTTTAAGAGAACAAAACCTGTGTGTGTGTGTGTGTATGTATGTGTGTGTGTATGTATGTGTGTGTGTGTGTGTTTGTGTGTGTGTATAAATAGAGGTAGATACAAAGCTAAATATCTACTTGTTCTTAACTGGGGGGATTCTATCCAGCTACTTTTTTTTAAGAGAACAAAACCTGTGTGTGTGTGTGTGTATGTATGTGTGTGTGTGTGTTTGTGTGTGTGTATAAATAGAGGTAGATACAAAGCTAAATATCTACTTGTTCTTAACTGGGGGGATTCTATCTCCAAGGAGACATTTGGCAATTTTGGTTATTAGAAATGGGGGAATGCTACTGGCATCTAGTGGGTAGAAACCAGAGATGCTGCTAAATACCCTATAGTGTTCACAACAAAGAATTACGCTGCCCAAAATGTTAATAGTGCTGAGGCTGGGGAAATCTGAGATAGATGATGGATGGGTGAATATACAGACAGACATAGATAGACAGGGATTGGGCAGAAAAGAGTGTGCATCTTAGGCAAACCTGAAGACAATCAGCTTATATCACATGTTTAGTATGATATATGGGAATCATGTTAGATCAGAGCCAAAACACACGATTGTTCTGAGCAATGACTTAGCAGCATGGCCTTAGGCCAGTCTCTTTCCTTCCTTAGGTAAGTCTCTTTCCTTCCTTAGGTCTCAATTTTATCATATTTTAAATAAGAGGGTTAGACCAGAAGGCCCCCAAGGACCCTTCTCTGCTTTGAAATCCTGTCCTATTTAGAAAGCAACTGAAAGAGCCAAGATCAGAGACTGAGAAGGGTTGAATAGCAGGCTTCTAAAGTTAGAGAAAAATACTCCTGATAATTCCATGAATTTCAGAGACTGGCCCAGGGCCAGGAATCTGGGAGGCTATAAATCTATGGCATGTTATAGTATTTCAGGATGATGTCAGGCTCAAGCTATTTCACCTTTTAAGAGAAGTAGTGAAACTAGACTCGGGCCCAGTGTTGTCACTATGGAGAGGGGTGAATTGGGAGGGCATGAGTTGAAACAAACAGAACCACCATGGACATTAAGTCTTCATCCCTGGAATGGTCCTGCCCCTCTGCTGCCTTAGTGTTGAAGCTTCACGAAGAGACAGAGAATCACTGGCACTAGAGTAGCTGCTTGTTTTAGATGTCAGTTTTCCAAGATCACAAGGCCATTGTGAGGCAGCAAGAGGACTACTACTCATGTCAGGCTGACCCCGCCAGCCTCCAGGCCACCATCTCCCCGTCCTGAGAGAAGCTGATCATGAGCAATTCCTCTGCAGTAGCCCCAATCAAATGCAATTTATTAGAACCATATTTCTTTACCCTTTTCTCCTGCCGTTACACCATGATCCCCGGAAAAAGCCTTGGGTGGGAAGGGGATTATGTTTCACATTATGATTGACAGAAAATAATTAAGATTTCCTGTCTCAATTTCTCTTCCTCCCTGCCTCTGCCTGCCCCTTCTCACACCCACGTGCACGTGCACACTCATGCACCCACACCCACACACTCTGTCATATATCTTTATCTTTGTGTTGGAAGGCTTTGAGCAATTCAGAATTAATAGACTGTGAGCCCCATGACTGAGCCAGCTCAACATCCCTGCAGTTCGGTCTGAGATAAAACTTCCCCCACGCCTGCTCTGGGCTTGCCAGTTCAAATCAACTAGGCCCTAACTCCTCACCTTTCTTTTATAGGATGCTGCTCCACACTTAGAGTCACTACTTGCAGGGTTCTCAGACCAGAATTTTAACCTTCCCTTAAACATGTTTGGATTTTGACTACCTCTCTGTTGGCCTTTCATATCTTTCCAATACCTAAAATTAACATGGAACAAATACCATCCATTGAATTCTACTGAGATCTGTTTCATCTGTCTTCCTAAGCTAAGCAATGCTTAATCTTCTGGAACTTGTAGTGCAGATCATTGCTTCTCAAACTAGGACGTACAGACAAGTCATCTGGGGCTATTGTTAAAATACAAATTGGAATTGTATAGTTCTATGGTGGGGTCTGAGATTCTGCATTTCTAGTAAGTTCCCTGGTGATGCTTATGCTGCTAATTCTCAAGTAGTTAGACAGCAGTGAAGCACTTGATATATGTCAGGTGCTGTTCTAGCGACTTACACCTTATTAGTTAAACCTCAGAGACCTTTTTAGATGAGTCACCATTCAGCAAATACTCAGCATGCATTTAATGAGATACTATATTCAGGTCCTGGAATAGGCATTAGCAGTAGAACACACAGATTAAGAGCCCTGGCTTTGGAACCCAAGGATTTCGGGTTCAAATTCCATCTCCACACTTGCTCTTGATCATGGGCCAGTTACTTCACCTCTCTGTGAATCAGTGCCTCTCTCATTGACTTGTGAGATGATTAAGTGAAATTACGCACATGAAATGCTCAGCACAGAGCCTGAGGTGTCATAATACATGCTTGGGAAACATTGGCCAGTATGATCATTTTTATAAAGAGGAACACAGACAGTGCTACCTTCAAGAGTGTTCATGCTCTTCGAGTGTCAGAGATGAAGAAAAGGGAGTCAGGGATGGTAATTAACCTGCTCAGAGTCGCAGAGTGAGGGAAGGCAAAATGAGAACTGGAACCTAGGTGTTTGAGCCTGAGGGCACTATTTAGACAAGAGCATGTAGAATGTTTTTAACCCAGGGAATGCCTTATTTTTTAAGCCAAGATTTACCAGCCCCCAAATCAGAGGTCCTGAATACTAAGCATACCTCTCTTTTTAAATATAGTCAGCCCTCTGTATCTGAAGTTTCCACATCTGTGAATCAACGAACTATGGATCAAAAATATTCAGGAATTTTTTTTTTAAATATACCAATACAACAATGAAATATAATACAAAATTTAAAGCAATACAGCATAACAACTATTTATTTAGCATTTATATTGTATTAGGTATTATAAGTAATATAGAGATGATTCAAAGTATACAAGGGAATGTGTGTAGGTTATATGCAAATACTATGCCATTTTATGTCAGGGACTTGAGTATCTGTGGATTTTGATATCCAGAGGGGTCCTGCAACCAGTCCCCCATGGATCTCGAGAAATAGCTATCATTTGAAATCAGCTTGGGTAAGTTGCTTCACTTCTTCAGGCACTGAGGTTTTCATCTGAAAAATGAAGGGATTGCACAAAATGACTTTTGAGACTCCTCCCTGCTCGGATAACCTGTGATTTATGTCCTGAGTTGTAACAGCTCTCAGGGAAGTGGAGTTGTATGGTAGAGAAGCCTGTGGTTATTTTGGACAGTACTGCTTTTCCTCTGGATAGATTTGGAGGTTTTTACATGAGGAAGCAGAGTGCCCAGCTTGCCTAACGCTCTGGTTCAGGGAAGTGGAGTTGTATGGTAGAGAAGCCTGTGGTTATTTTGGACAGTACTGCTTTTCCTTTGGATAGATTTGGAGGTTTTTACATGAGGAAGCAGAGTGCCCAGCTTGCCTAACGCTCTGGTATTCCCTTGTAGGTGGCATTGTCTTGAACCCATCTTTCTACGGCCTTCCTGGGCACACCCACACCATGATCCATGAGATTGGGCACAGCCTGGGCCTCTATCACATCTTCCGAGGCATCTCAGAAATCCAGTCCTGCAGTGACCCCTGCATGGAGACAGAACCCTCCTTTGAGACCGGAGACCTCTGCAATGACACCAACCCAGCCCCCAAACACAAGTTCTGCGGCGACCCGGGGCCGGGGAATGACACCTGTGGTTTTCATAGCTTCTTCAACACTCCTTACAACAACTTCATGAGCTATGCAGGTAGGGCCCTACACTTTGCAGAGTGCACAGGGCTGAGGTCAGACATGGGCTCCTGTCCTGGCTCATGGTAGCCTTACATGAGCTGCTTACCTTTTAAAAGACTGAGAGAATTTTCATTCCAAACAATTGGAATAATATTTTTTTCCATGAGCCCCTCAGGGGTTCAAGGAAGATATTGCGTATCAAAGCTTCTCAGAAAGACACACTTTAGGAAGATGACCAGGACCAAAAGCCAGGAAACCCAGGTAGAAGGCCTAGCTCTGCCACTTGGCCACGTAATGCCTTTGGGTCATCTCCTGTCCTGATCTCACTTTTCTCCAGAAAATGAAATCTTTGGACTTGATCTCCAAGTTCCCTCCTAGTTTTGCATCTGTATTTTTCTAAGCTGGTGGTTGTTGAACCTTTTTTATTTAACTCTTAGTTAGACATAAAACTTCCACACCCTCCCTTACTGTTTTTTGCAAAAGCGAAAAGGATGCTTTTGGTTTGGCAAATACAAAATCATTTCATGAGATTGGGTATGATTTTTTCCCTAACTACATATAACTTATCATAGCCCTTTCATATACCATGAGTACCCATGTTAAGGGCTCATTTTCTGGGTTCTAGGATGCCCTGCACTTCTTCTTAGCACAAGATTCAAGATCACTTTTAGCACATTTTAGAGCCCTTTTAGCACCTGTGGTAAATTAGAACAAGACACCCCTTCCTCAGGGCAAACACAGCCCTCACCCCTGTCCCCTTCAGTCCAGAGTCTTGTGTAAGACACAATTCATCACAATTGCACATGGTAGCCCAGCATCAAATACTATTGTAATACTCAATTTAAGTATCTTTTTCCCACTAGAACAAGCAAATTCTGTGAAGGCAGACGTTGCATCTAATGTATCACTGTATCCCCAGGACCTACCACAGGGCCTGGTGCTTAATAAATGTTTGTTAGGGAGGAAGAAAATAAGGAAAGGTGGGGAGGAAGAAGAGAACAAGGGAACAAGAGAGGAAAATAAACTCTCTTATAAAAGGTGTACAAAATTGATTCTTATCAATACCAATACTTCCACCCATGTAACAATTTATGTCTGTAAAGGACTTCAATGTGCTCCATCTCATTTAATTCTCACAACAAATCTATGAGGTAGGAACTATCCCCATTTCACAGATGATAATACTGAGGCTCACTGAAGTCATTTTTCTTAGGTCATACATCTGCATTGAAGTACTTTTTCTCTTCTAATCCTATGCTTTTCTTCAAAAGAGACGTAGCTGGTGGCTGAGTGGGCAAATCGAGCAACCTGGGTGGTTTTTGCACTCGGTTCCACAGCAACGCCCCTGGTGGCTGCGTGGATGAGGCTTTCTACCTCCATGTCTGCTCAAACTGGGGAAGCCCTACTTTGAAGGGTCAATAACCCCCTGCTGGTACTGTAAAGAATCTTTAGGTTTGGGTCTCTAAAAAAAGAGCAGGGTGCTTGGTATTTCCTCAAAAGCAGATTCCCACTGGGCTCCCATTCCCAGCCACGCTGACACCCCACATCCGGCGCCCTGTCCCTTCACACAGCCTTGCTTACGTTCCATTTCTGTAGCACCTTTCCTTGGCCAGCTCAGCGCACATGGAAAATAAACAATAACATGAGTTTGGAAGTTTGCCGGCCTCTTAGGGGCCTAGGAGCTGCCACTAGCTACCAGACCCCCGTAAACTAAATCTTTTTTTTTTGTTCCCCTCTGTACAGATCTAAAGGGTGATTGATTTACTGTTGTTTTTTTAAAGGAACCCCTCAGCTCAGTGACCCATTAACAGCAGAACTAATTCACTGAGCTACGATAACAAACTTACACCCACAAAAGCATATTTAAAGCAACCACGAGCTTTGAAATGTTTGTTTTTCTTAGGATCTCTGATAGATGAGGTGACAAAAGCAGCTGGATGAAATTCAAAATGCAGAACAGGATTGGGTTCTCAGGGCTAGGGAGAGTGAGGTAAAGGGGCTCCCTCCATCAAACAAGAGAGTAGAGACATTGCCGGGTCAGCTTCCCCCAGTGGCTTTTCCTTCCTGGGTGCTTATTCCTCAAGCATGTCACTAGTTGGGTAAAGAGTCAAGTGCAGCATTGTCCAGCAGAACTTTCTTCAAAGGTAGACATGGGCTGTGTCTGTGCTGTCTAGTGTGGAAGCCAGTAGCCATCTGTGGCTATTGAAAGCTCAAAATACAACTAGTGAGACTGAGGACCTGGATTATTAGTCTTAAATAATTTTAATTAATTAAAATTTAAATAGCTACATGTGGCTGGTGGCTACCATATTGATCAATGTAGACCTACAATAATTTTTGTGTACCTATGATATGCCTGACACTGCATGAAACTCTTCATAGGTTTATCTCATTGAATCCTCAAAATAATCCAAGGAGGTAAGTGCTATTATTATTAAGCCCATTTTACAGATGCAGACAGTGTGGTTGAGCAGCTTAAGTAACTTGCCCAGGATCACACTGATGTAACAAGGCTAAGGTGAGATATAAACCCAAGTCTTTCCTACCGCAGAGCCAGTGGTATTAACCAATGTTATCTCCTTCACTTTCCAATCCTGGGGAAGATTAAGAGGATCCCAAGTGCTCAGATCAAGCAGTCACCAGATGATGGAGACAAACATAGTTTAGCAGCTGGACAAAGTACCAGGGAAGTATGGTTATGTTGAGGCATTGGATAGGCCCTTGGCAGATAGATGGGTGGCAACCCCTACTCCACTCCCTGAAGATAGTAGGCCATAGAGTCTACTACTCTTTGAGGACCCTCCAGTGGAGGCCTTTTCAAGCCTGCAGAATATCAGGCTTTCTCCACTCTACAGGATCAAGTGTCTTGTTAGCATCTCTCGGTGTGTCAGGGCCTTTTAATATTCACACCTGCTTTGACCCTGCAATCCCATCTCTAAGAAATATATCAGAAGCAAATCAATTGATGTGTTTAAATATTTAGCCATAAGAATGTCTTAGCAATGTTCATTCTCCAAGTATTTATTAAGCATTTACTAAATGCCAGGCATAGAAGAAAAATGTTCACACATGTAAACAATTAAAAACAACTTACGAGCCCAAAGATAATGAACTGCTGAAATAAATCACAAGGCATTCATATGATAGAACATTGTGTGGTTGCCGAATATGATGTAGAAATAACTGAGGGGTCACGAACAGAAACAGTTACATAGTGCCTTAGAGAGTGAAGTTCGGAGTGAGGGGACCAAACTCAAATTCTCCATGTCCCAGCCTTTGAGCCTGAGCTAGTTTCTTCTACTCTCTGAGCCTAAGTTAGTTTGTCAATACTATGGAGGATAACTATACCTACCTTGCCTGACAGTAGGTGTGATCATACAGCTACTCACAATTGTCTTTGTTATCACAATTAGTGCTCAATAGATGCTAATTAGCAGGATTATCTGTTAACTATTTAATGAGACAAAGGTCTCAGAGCCCTATGTATAGTGTAAGACCTGTGTGTGTGTAAGTGATGATGAGAATTATAGAAATTTACTGTAAATATTCACATTCATCACATATACACATACATATACATATACGCTAAATATTAATATTATCTCTAGATAAGAGGTTTAGAGTGATTTTTGTAACATTTTTGGCCTATTTCAGAGGTTCTACAGTGAATAACTATAACTCATAATCATATATTATTATGACTATTATTATCATTATCATTATTTTAAAAGACAACAAAAAGACTTTTACAATAGGCAACTCAGTTATCCTTGCACTAGACACAGGCTAGCTTGTTATACGCTCTCCTCAGCTTTATGAAGCAGGTAACGTCATTATTTCTCATCTTAAATAAGGTGACAATGAGGCTGCCAGGGCTCAGCATTTTGCTTAGTGTCCTACACAGGGTCGAAGCACCCAATCCATGCCCTGAAACTTCTAGCTACAGATGGAAATTTGTTCTTGAGAACAAAGCTCTGTTAGCAAGTCTAGGACACTGAATCAACACTATGGGGACTGGCGCAGGCTCCCCGAGTACTGAAGTCTCCAAGAGTCTTTCTGCTTAGGGACAAGATGGGGGCGGAGTAACAAGATGAGCTGGCTGGTCCTGGAAGCCAGGGTGAAGTGGCTGCAGACATGGAGAAGGGAGGCATTTGGGGCAGGAAGCCAAGTGGGTCTGACTCTAGACATTAGCTAGTGGAGACAGAACATCTGTGATAAACAGAAACCCTTTGGTACCTCACCCAAGATTCTGATAGCATCCAAGTCTCCAAGTAATGTATCCTGGGTCATATATTTTTCCAACTTCAGCTTTAACATTCAAATACATTCCCCTTTTCCTAATTTCTATCACCTATTCATTTTTTAAACTCTTTTATTGACAAATATGGGAATGATTAATTTTTAAGTTATAAAAGAAAAATACACTTCTTTGGGAAAGAAAGCGAATAAATCAGAAGTTTATAGAGGGAAAAACTGCTGTTTTTCATCCTCACCGGTGTTTAGAAATGCTTTATGTGCCTCAGTTCATTGAATCCTCACAACAGCTCTATGGGCTAGAGTTTATTTAAATGTCCCCAATTTATACATGAGGGAAACGAGTCTTTAAGTTACTTCATGTTTTAGTAATGCCTGATTAGTATTCTATCCTATGCCTGTGCCTGAGAGTACACAACCATTTCCCTGTTAATGAACAGATGTGTTATTTCAACTATTTTTACTATTATAAATGATGCTTCAAGAAACATCCTTGTACATGTATTATCCCCATGTCTGTCCAAGAGCATTTATCTATTGAAATCATAAATGCAGTACAGCTAGATCAAAGAGAATGCATATTTTACATTCTGGGGTTTTTCCTTCTTTAAATTTTCCAGAACTCACACACAAGCGTGCACATGTGTATACACACACACACACACACACACACGCACACGCACACGCACACACGCACACATTGTTTCCAATCATGAGCAGGTGAGCATTTATTAAGCATTTATCTTGTGCTTGATGACCCTTCACTTCAGCTGAGTTCTGAGATGGATGCTCTTGTTTTCATCATTGTCTACACGTCACAGACTGGGAAACTGAGGCACTAAGGACATAAAATCTCTTACCCATTTGACTGCAGATCTTTTGTGCACTAATCTAACTATCTAGCCATATTTACTTCCTTAGCCATCATGCCCTGCTCCTGCATCAAACCTATGCAGTGGCTTTCCCAAGGCTTTCAGAAAGAAGTTCAAAGTTTATAGCAACAGACAAAAAATTACCCAATGATCTGGCCATTCTCAGACTGTGAGGTGTTTGGACTCCAGGCAATGAGGAGCCATAGGGTGATTCATATTCAGGAGTTACATGGTGGCATCTGGGATTGAGAGAGCTTTACTTGATTAGTCATTCTTATGCAGTGCTTGCTATGGGACGTCAGGCTCTTCCGCTTCCTTCAAATGTATTAGAGACTTCCCTAGGATGCTGCAAAGGATACTGTCAAAAATCATTAAGGGGATCTGAGGCAGCTTCTGTATCTAACCTCCCTGTACCCCCATCCCTTCCCTAAGCTGGATTTTCAAGGTCATGTCCAACTGCCCAGCACCTGCCCAAACTTATTTTCTGTTTGTTTGATAAGGAGAAGCGAGTTTGTGCTGCAGGATTCCCAGTAGCGAGTTTATTTTAAGATCTGGCAAGCCCCGTGCTCCTCCGTCTGGGGCCCAGCTGCAGAAACCCTGACCAGGTGGACACCTCTGGGAGGTGGTGTTTTTGGAAACCAAGCCAAAACAGTGCCTTGTTCTGCCTCTGGGGCAGCTGGATAAAACTGTTGGAGGGAGAAACAGGAGGCAAGTTTCTTCCCTGGGGGCCAGGTCTTGGGTCACCGCCCTCAGTTCATGCCCTGGAAAAGAAAGAGTAGGATGGAAGGTCATCAGATCTAAAGATACCTGAGAGATTGTGTTTCAAGCCCTCTCTGACTCAGGCTCAACTCATTTATCAACCACATGGAGAATACGTTGTTCATGCAAAGTCTCATTTTATACTCAGAAAAAAGTTTTCATATTGATCAGAAATACGGCCTTGGAGTCAGGACTGCCTGGGTTCAAATCCCAGATCTTTCCCTAGCTCTGAGACCTTGGAAAAGTGGTTTGCTCTCTCTTAATCTCAGTTTTTTGCTATGTAAGATGGAGAAAATAATAGTATGTACTTCAGAAATAGTGGAAGGAGAGGGCTAAATGTGTTTAAACACAGTGCCTCATGCCTGGCTCAAGCTAAGCATGCAGTAAATGTCCCAATGACAGTACTGTGTGGGAGACGTGATTGCTCACATTCCCAGCAAGCACACTAGCTTGGGGTGCTCCTAGTCTGCCCTGCGTCCTCTACGTAGGACACTATGCCTCTGTGGTTATGCAGCTCCCTCTCCTGTGATCCTACACTTTCTTTCCCAGTCTCAGCCAAGTAATCTGATGGACCTCAAGTGCCTCCTTCTTCGAAAGTCTTCCTGGTTCACCCTTTTTCCCCATGTGCTGTTTCCATTCATCAGTGGTCAGCATCACAGACTATAGCAGCCTTCTGACAACTCTGACACATACGGTGAACTGGCCTTGACTCCATAGGTAGACCAGTAGCTTGTCAAGGGCAAGAACTTTGTACATATCCTCTTTCCATGCCTCTTGGCACAGAGCAGAGAGTAAGTAGTAGACAAGGCTTCAAATCAGAAGATTTGTTTGAAGGGCAATATCACTGCATCCGTGAATAATGGAATTAATGAATGAGTCGATGAATGAATGAGAGACTCTAGATGAGGCATGAGGTATGGGGGGAGGAAGGGAATTGTCGACTTGGTGGCCAGTGGATTTGGGGCCCATGGAAAGCCACTTGTATTGCCCAGTCCCCATAGGCTGCTCTTGCCCCATACTCAGGCATAGTTTTTTAGTTTCATCCACCCCTCCCCTTCTTTCTGTTTCCTCTCACCTGTCTCCAGAAGTGATGGCTGTACTAATTTGTTCACAGACCATTAACTCCTGAGCACTGGAAGAGGCCAGCCCTGAGCTGGCAGGGGAGGGCTGGGGTGCTGGCTCTCCAGCTGCCCGTGCAGCCTGGTATTCCTCTCTCCCTCTGCCTGCTTGCAGATGACGACTGTACCGACTCCTTCACACCCAATCAAGTCGCCAGAATGCACTGCTACCTGGACCTGGTGTACCAGAGCTGGCAGCCCTCCAGGAAACCGGCGCCTGTCGCCCTGGCCCCCCAGGTCGTGGGCCACACGACAGACTCTGTGACATTGGAGTGGTTCCCACCTATTGATGGCCACTTCTTTGAAAGGTGAGTGTGTGCTGTGAGGTGTTGATCCCTGTCTCTGTCCTGCCAAGAAGAGGGAAACTCGGAAGGGAAGCAGCCTGGAGAGCAATTTTGCGGTGTTCCTCGTCCTTGTTCTTGTTCAACAGGTACCCTCACCACCTAGCACGGTGACTTCTACATAGGGGCGCCTGGGACGTTTTGGGTCAGGGAACAAATAATGAATGATTGCTAATAGAAATGAATAGGTAATAATACATATTTTTAGCTGAACAAATGTTTAGATTTACTTTATTATTAGAAACTTGGAAACATCTATTGCTAGAACCTCTTCTAGGAAGGAGGTACTGCTCTCGTCTCTATGAGCACAGGAGTGAAATTTCCTCTGGTTAATGGGCAAAAACCTTCATATTATATTATGTACAATTCATTTTATATGTGAAAGTATATATATATATATATATATATAGAAAGAGAGAGAGAAAGAGAGAGAGAGAGAGAGAGAGAGGGAACCCTAGTGTGTTTATATGTGTATATACACACATATATATGTATGCACACACACACACACACTAGGGCATTTCAAAAAGTTCATGGAAAGATTCATATTACTTTTCAATTCTATTTTTCCATGAACTATTTAAAGTAACCTTGTATGTGCATGTTATATATATATATATATGTGTGTGTGTATGTATATATTCATGTATACATATATAATGTATAATCACAATCTTTGAATGTTCCCAGTGTTTACTTGTAGAACTGAAGGTAGAATTTTTAGAAGACCAGGCATGGATAAACTGAGGCACAAAGATACCTCAGTTCTCTTCCCCTGTCTGTCACTAATTAGCTATATGATCTTGGACAAGTCACTTTTCCTCTCTGAGTCTTATTCTTCTACCCTGAAAAATGGGTCTCATGATGCTACACTGGACTGAAGGTGGAGACCTGACCAAGTGGTCTCTTGTGGTACCTTTTAGCATGGAGATTCCCTGAGGGGCTCAGGCTTTAAGGGAACCAGATTTAAAGGTGTCATGAAAACAGACCAAAATGTTTACGTCTATTTTGGAAGTTTGCTGTATTTCAGGGAAGATTAATATATTACCCCCACTCCCAGCTCTTTTTG